AACCTCCTCGTTGACAAAGTTAGTCCAATTAAGATAATCCAATAGTAACCTATGATATTCCCTGGCCACAAAAAATAATAAAATAGAATTGTTTAGGGTTGAACAAGTCAGCAGTAACCACAGGACTTTTGCCTCCCCCCCACATTATGAGCTATGGCTCAGTTCTGTTCTGTGATGCGAATGAGAAAGCATGTGATCCTTGTTACTGAGGGCAGCAATCTTGTGACCAAGAAAATGAAAGAAAGGATTGACCTGGAATCCTGATCAAATAATCAAAGATTTATAACTTTGTATGTAGGTACCAGGATATAAAGAGTAAATGGTCAAAGTTTTAAATAAACACTTTTCTGCCTCCTCTCTTTTCATCTACTGGATTCTTCAGTTATGTCAGGCTTAAATCAAGTTAACATAGTTTTTGTTTTGGACCGATCCTCACTGTTACTCAATATTAGTTAAGTCAGTTTAAAGTTGTTATTAGTATACTTTGCATTAAAAATATTTGTGTACACAATGGGATATAAATGTGTACATATGTGTTACTAGATTTACCTTACCCTCCAGTGGGCATCAATTGCCCTAATCTAAAATTCAAACTTCAGGGATTTTGAGCTGGTATTTCATCAGAAAAGCTGCACTGCCAGCACAGCCAGCCACTCCTAAGTGTTTCATGTATAATTCTTCCTCCTTAACACTTGGGAGACATCTTGCTAGTCAATAAAATGAGTGATTAAAAAAAAAAATAGCCAGGCGCTGTGGTGGGTGCCTGTAGTCCCAGATACTCCAGAGGCTGAGCAAGAGAATCGCCTTGGCTCAGTGCCTGTGGCTCAAACAGGTAAAACGCCAGCCACATACACCTGAGCTGGCGGGTTCAAATCCAGTCCAGGCCTGCCAAAAACAACAACGGCTGTAACCAAAATATAGCTGGGCATTGTGGCAGGCGCCTGCAGCCCCAGCTACTTGGGAGGCTGAAGCAGGAGAATCACTTGAGCACAAGAGTTGGAGGTTGCTGTGAGCTGTGACACTACATACAGCACTCTACTGAGGGTGACAAAGTAAAACTCTGTCTCTAAAAATAAAAAACAAAAAAACTCATTGTATCCCCCTTTATTTTTATTTTATTTTGCAGTTTTTGGCTGGGGCTAGGTTTGAACCCACCACCTCCAGCATATGGGGCCAGCGCCCTACTCCTTTGAGCTACAGGCACCACCCTGTATCCTCCTTTATTGTTTGTATTTTCATTTTGAACATTATGAAGTCTACAGAAAGTACACAACACATACAGTTTAAAGAATAATTAGAGGCTGTGGGTGGTGGCTCACACTTGCAAACCCAGCACTCAGGAAGGCTGAGATGGAAGGATTATTTGAAGCCAGGAGTTCACAGAACAGCCTAATCAACACAGCTAGACACCGTCTCTACAAAATTAGAAAAATTATCTGAGGCTTGGCGCCTGTGGCTCAAGCTGCTAAGGTGCCAGCCACATACATCTGAGTTGGCAGGTTCGAATCCAACCTGGGCCTGCCAAACAATGACACCTAGCAACCAAAAAATAACTGGGTGTTGTGGCAGACGCCTGTGGTCCCAGCTACTTGGGAGATGGAGGCAGGAGAATCGCTTGAGCCCAGGAGTTGGAGGTTGCTGTGAGCTGTGATGTCACAGCACTCTACCCAGGGGGACAGCTTGAGGCTCGGTCTCAAAAAAAAAAATTATCTGAGGATGGTGGTGTACCCATGGAGTCTCAGCAACTTGAGAGGCTGAAACAAGAGGATTTCTCGAGTCCCAGAGTTTGAGGTTGCGGTGAGCGATGATGATGCCACTGCACTCCAGCCTGAGCTACAGAGGGAGAGCTTATCTCAAAAAAAGAAAAAGAAGCAACCTATAGCTCAGCGGCTAGGGCACTGGCCACATACACTGGGGCTGGCGGGTTTGACCCCGGCCCTGGGCTTGCCAAACAACAATAACAACTACAACAGGAAAATAAAAAGAAAAATAGCTGGGTGTTGTGGTAGGCACCTGTAGTCCCAGCTAGGGCAGGCTGAGGGAAGAGAATCACTTAAGCCCAGGTGTTTGAGGTTGCTGTGAGCTGTGATGCTAACGCACTCTACCGAGAGCAACATAGTGAGACTCTGTCTCAAAAAAAAAAAAAAAAAAGAAACGAGGAAAAAGGAAAATTAATAAAATACAAATGTTCTAACATCTAACTCAACATCTATGATGAGTTTTAAATATTTAAATTAAAATATAAAATAGCCGGGTACAGTAGCTCACACCTGTAATCCCAGCACTTGGGAGGCTGAGGTGGGTGGATTGCCTGAGCTCACAGGTTTGAGACCAGCCTGAGCCAGAGCGAGACCTCATCTTTAAAAATAGCCGGCGTTGGGCGGCGCCTGTAGTCCCAGCTACTCTGGAGGCTGAGGCAAGAGAATCGCCTAAGCCCAGAAGTTGGAGGTTGCTGTGAGCTGTGTGACGCCACGGCACTCTACAGAGGGAGTGACGATTGTCTCCACAAAAAAAAAAAAAAAAAAAACCAGGCGTTGTGGTGGGCGACCGTCATCCCAGCTACCTGAGAGGCTGAGGCAAGAGAATCGCTTAAGCCCAAGAGTTTTAAGTTGCTGTGAGCTGTGATGGCACTCTTCCGAGGGTGACAAAGGAAACTCTGTCTCAAAAAAAAAAAAAAAATCTATCTATCTATCATAACGCCAGGCGCGGCAGCTAATGCCTGTAATCCCAGCACTTGGGAGGCCAAATAGGCAGATTGACTGAGCTCACCGGTTCGAGACCAGCCTGAGGCAGAGGGAGACCCACTCCCCCACCCCCGTCTCAAAAAAATAGCTGGGAACGGCACCCGTAGCTCAGTGGGTAGGACACTGGCCACAAGCACCAGGGCCGGTGGGTTCAAAACCAGCCTGAGCCTGTTGGGTTCGAACCCAGCCCTGGTTTGCTAAAATAAAGAGCTAGGTGTTGTGATGAGTGCCTGTAATCCCAGATACTTGCGAAGCTGAGGCAAGAGAATCGTTTGAGCCCGGAAGTTTGAGGTTGCTGTGAGCTGCGCCGCCACGGGAGGGCGACATAGACACTGTCTCGATTAAAAAAAAAAAAGAAAAAATATATATATATGTGTGTGTGTATATATATACACACACACATACATATATAGCCAGGCATTGTGGCACACGCCTGTAGTTCTGGCTTCTCCGGAGGCTGAGGCAAGAGAATTGCTTACGCCCAAGAGTTTGAGGTTGCTGTGAGCTATGATGCCGCAACACTCTACTAAGGGCGACAAAGTGAGACATTGTCTCAAAAAAACAGAAATAGGGCAGTGTCTGTGGTTCAAGGACTAGGGCACCAGCCCCATATGCCAGAAGTAGTGGATTCAAACCCGGTCCTGGCCAAAACTGCAAAAACTAAATAAACAAATAATAAAAATAAATGAATAAAATATAAAGTAGTATGTAAATAAAACTTAAAATTGAAATATTTGTTTTAAATAAATATTTATGTTGTTTAAAATAAAATTTATTTATTTATTTTTGCAGACAGAGTCTAACTTGGTAGCCCTTGGTAGAGTACTGTGATGTCACAGCTCACAGCAACCTCAAAGTCTGGGCTGAAGCAATTCTTTTGCCTCAGTCTCCCAAGTAGTTGGGATAACAGGCACCATCCACAAGGCCCGGCTATTTTTAGAGAGGAAAACTCTGCTCTTGCTCAGGCAGAGTGCTAGGATTACAGGTGTGAGCCATCACGCCCAGTTTTAGAATAAAAATTAAAACATTTAAAGTTTTATTTTTATGTTTTTATTTTATTATTATTTTTTAGAGACAGTCTCACTTTGTCACCCTAGATTGCCGTGTTATCACAGCTCACAGCAACCTCCAGCTCTTGGGCTTAGGTGATTCTCTTGCCTCAGCCTCCTGAGTAGCTGGGACTACAGGCGCCCACCATAACACCCGTCTATTTTTTTTGTTGTTGCAGTTTGGCTGGGGTCGGGTTTGAACCCACCAACCTCGGTATAAGGGGCTGGCGCCCTACTCACTGAGCCGCAGGTGCTGCCCAAAACATTTAAAGTTTTAAAAACGTAAATGCTATTTTATTTATGTAGAGACAGAGACTTGCTCTGTCTCAAGCAATCCTCTTGCCCCCACCTCCTGAGTGGCTGGAGTTGCAGGTGCCCACCCCGACACCCTGCCAATTTTAAAATTTTTGTAGCGATTTGGGGGGCCGTGGGGTGATTAGGTGCTTGCTATTTTGTCCAGGCTAGTCTCAAACACATAGTCTCTCCAGTGATCCTTTTTGCCTCTGGGCGGCGCCTGTGGCTCAAGTAAGCAGGGAGCCCGCCCTATATGCCGGAGGTGGCGGGTTCAAACTCAGCCCCGGCCAAAAACTGCAAAAAAAAAAAAAAAAAAGAAAGAAAGAAAGAAAAAATTATGTCTTTAAGGCCGGGTGCAGTGGCTCACGCCTGTAATCCCAGTACTTGGGAGGCAAAGGCGGGTGGACTGTTTGAGCTCAGGAGTTCAAGACTAGCCTGTGCAAAAATGAGACACACACCCCCCCCCCCTAAAAATTAGCCAGGGCTTGGCTCCCAAAGCTCAATGGTGAGGGCGCCGACCACATGCACCAGGGATGGTGGGTTCGAACTGGCCCGGGCCTGCTAAACAAAAGAAAACAGTCGGTTGTTGTGGCGGATGCCTGTAGTCCTATCTACTTGGGAGACTGAGGCAAGAGAATCGCTTGAGCCCAAGAGTTTGAGGTTGCTGTGAGCTGTGACGCCACAGCACTCTTCCTGGGGCAACAAAGTAAGACTCTGTCTCAATAATAATAATAAATAACTGCTTAAGTAAAATGTAAAGCGATACTTGAGTATATCTAAACTATTTATTATCTCCTAGCCCCACCTCCCCGAACTGAGGCAGCAGAGGAGAGGCAACCCTCACCCAGCCCGGGCCCCAGTAGCATCTCGCGCTCAGGCAGTGTTTTGGGCAGCCCGGGCCGCTCGCGAGGACCCTGCACAGCCAATATGGCAGCGCTCATGCGACCGGTGCGCAGCCTGCTTGGGCTGGCGGCAACCCTGGGCCCCGGCTCCCGTGGCTACCGGGCGCCGCCCCCCCCGCGCCGCTCTCCCGGGCCCTGGTGGCCAGACTTAGAGGACCCGTTGACCCCTCGGTGGCAGTTAGGGCCGCGCCATGCAGCCAAGCAGTTCGGGCGTCATGGCACAGCCTCTGGGGTCTCCCCGGAGTCTCTGTGGCCGTCGCAGGAGCAACTGCGGGAGCTGGAGGCCGAAGAGCGTGAGTGGTACCCGAGCCTGGCGGCCATGCAGGAGTCGTTGCGGGTGCAGCAGCTAGCCCAGGAGGAGAAGCTTCGAGCCAGGTGCGTGTGTGCAGGTAGCCACCGGGATCTGCTTGCGGTAGATTGACGTACGTACTCAACCGGCCGCAAAACAAACTGAATAGTCTTTTAAGTCATACATCAGCAAATCGTTACGGTAACCGTTACGGGTCCCAGAATGGAACAGCTAAGATAATTTCAGAGGACAAGAGACTATCACTAGGAAGATAAAACCGTCAAGAGTGTGTGCTTGAGGTCATCTTTGGTTTGGAGGCCTCAGGCCTGTCTGAGGAGGGGATGTTTAGCAGAGACCCGAATAACCCAGACATAAACTTGGGGAGAGCTCAGGGAGAGCATTCCTGGTAAAAGAAACAGCCAGTGCAAAGGGCCTGAAGTATGACGTGCCTTAAGGAACAGCCAGGAGGCCAGTGTGGCTGGGGAGAAGTGGGAAGCGAGGGCAGAGAAGTGATGGAATCTGAAATCAGGGATTTGGAGGCAGAGCTGAAGGATTACTTCTGAGGGAAGAATAGAAGAGCAGGGTCATCTAGGTGATGCCACCTCCTCAGGGGAGAGGGGAAGCTTGAAGTGTGTCCTTGTTGATTCTTCCTGTCTTCCCAACATGCTTAAGAGGAAGAGGGGAGTGCCTTCATTTTAGAGATGAGGCAACAGGCCTGGGGAAGTGGAACACCACATGGAGTCATTCAGGCAGTGAAAGGTGGAGCAGGATCTCCCATCTGCCCCTCTCCAGCTGGGTGACCCTGACATAGGATCTAATTCTTCCAGCTTCACTTCTAATCTATAAAAATGGGGCTATAACTGATACCTACAAACTCATAGAATTGAAGAATGTCTATTTCTTGCTTTCACTCCTGTGCCTAGAATTGGGTCTGGCTACAGGTGCTCAGTGATGTCTGTGGAATAAAGGAGTGAGGTGGTAAGTTGTACAGCATGATGTGTGGCACTCAGGTGGCTCAGTTGACAGCTCAGTGAAATGTTAACCCACCCAGTGATCAAGTTCATGCTCAAGTAACTTTATCTCTTCATCTTTTCCTGTTTCTTTACTTGTCAGGGACCTTTCCTGGCAGTTAATGGCAGTGATTATTCTACTCCGCCCCTTTGTTAAATCTCCATGGGGGAGTTAAAAGAGGCAGGCTATGCACAAGTCTGTCAGTGAGAAGTGGGTGGATTGCTTGTGCTGTGGCTGTCCTCACTTTCCATCCTCTGTCCCCTGCAGAGAGCAGCATATTGCAGAGTGCATGGCCAAGATGCCACAGATGATTGAGAACTGGCGGCGGCAGCAGCAGGAGCGCTGGGAGAAGGCACAGGCAGACAAGGAGAGAAGGGCCCGGCTCCAAGCTGAGGCCCAGGAGCGCCTGGGCTACCATGTGGACCCAAGGAGTGCCCGCTTCCAAGAGCTGCTACAGGACCTAGAGAAGCAGCAGCGCAAGCGCCTCAAAGAGGAAAAGCAAAGACTAAAGAAGGAGGCAAGAGCTGCTGCAATGGCTGCTGCTGTGGCCCAGGACCCAGCAACCTCTGGGGCACCCAGCTCCTGAGCTTTGACCTTTGCCAATAAAGCTTGCTACCTGAGTCTCCTGAAGAGTTCTGTATCCTCTCTCAAGGTGCACCTCTAAGCCCCGCTTCCTACCCCTGGGCCTGGAGAATCCCAAATCCAGTCCAGCTCTGCTCACTCGAGATTCTAGGCCATTTTGTTCTTAACCTTCCTAATGTTGTGACCCTTTAATACAGTTCCTGTGGGTTGCAACCCACAGGTGGAGAACCGTTGCTCTAGGCCATGCCCACAGACTGGGCTATATAGGGAAAAAAACGGGGATAGATGGGCGAATAATGAAGGAGCAGATGGTAGAAAAGAAGAAGGCTTCTGTTTACCAACATTAATCTCCAGTAATTAGCCAATTACCACGGGGGATGTACAGCCCAAACAGACCATGGTAAGGATGGTGGAGGTGGGGAGAAGCAGCCCTGCAAGGCTGAGCTGGGGCTGGGGCACACTGCCTGGCAATGTGACAGCTTCAGTGTGGGGAGGGGATAGGGGAACACTGGGAGCCCCAATCTGCAGGAGCTAACAGACTACTCTCTTGTCAGCTTTCCCACATTGTCTGTGCCCAACTAGCCCCCAGAACCAAACTGGCATTAGGTACCCCAGCAGGCGCAGACCAGAGGGCTGGTTTTAAAAACTTTATTCACTTCAAAACCTTTATCAGAGACGGTTCTGTTCTTAGGTGGGGGTAGCCTTGGTATTACTCCTCCAGGCTAGAAGCCAAGGCCAGACTGGGGAAGGGGCTTTGGGCCTTTCAGGGCTTGTCCCAGATGGAAAGATTTGGGCCACTCCAATGGAGGATCAAAGTTTAGGGTGCCAGCTTCCCCTCATTCTGGAAGAGGGAGGGGCAGGGGATCCTCAGGGTATGGGGAAGCAAACAGCCGCCTCTCCATCTGGCTGCAGGGAGCTGGGACAGAGGCCAAGAGGGGCCCATCTGTCACCTCCTAGTCTTGCCAGCTCCTTTGAGTAGGCTGGGCTAGGGAGGACGGGGACAGCTGTCTGGCCTGGGTCTTCTCAGACCAAGATGGGAATGAAGGCCACTCCAGGAGGGCAGGAAGCTGTTTTTTTGTTTTTGTTTTTTTTAAGGTTTTTGATATTTTTTCCACTTCTTAAATAAACATGAATATATATATGTATATATATATATATTTCTTTTATAAAACTTTCATGGAGTGGGGGTGAGGTGGGGGTCACTGGGTAGCCTGGCCACCTGGCATCACTCATCATCAAAGTTCTGACTCAGGAGGAAGTTGGCAGCCAAGTTCTCATTTTTTTCACACGCGAAGTAGGCTTGGATCACCAGACTCTCCGGAAAGCCCAGGGCCTTCAACTGTGAGAAGACACAGGTAGGTATGAGCAGGTGGGATGGGAGGTGTCCTGCCCACCCACAGAGTCACCCCTTGGCCAGGCCTCTTACCCTCTCTATAGCTTCTTTCTCCTGTGGTGTGACTTGGATGTAGTTCATCTGTGGGGCCTCCTCGCCTATGGCACCCACCTCACCCTCCACATCTGAGATGTCTGCCAGCTCCCCAGGGGGCTCGTTCAGCATCTGGATGAACTGCTCCTGGTGCCGACTAATTTGCTGTGGTAGGGAGAAGGGAAGGGATGGCAACCCTTTTCCCCAGGTCCCCGTCGCAGCCCTTGCTTTTTCATTCGGTCAGCAAATATTTATAGATGCCTATTCCAGCTAAACACAGAGACAACAGCAGTGGACACAAGCCCCACCCTGATAGAGCTAATGGGCTAGAAGTGAGCAAATAAATGGGCTAGACAACTGTAGAACTTGGGCCAGAAAGACAGCACCAGGGGGCAGGCCTGCAGTCTGTGAGATAGTAAGGGGAGGATTTTCTCCAGGTAGCATAAACTGCAAACACAAAGGTTGGTGGTGGTGTGGGATTTAGCAAATCCTCCAAATAGAAGATCCATGTGGCAAGAACTGAGTAAAATAAGAAAGGGAAAGAGACAGAAGGGGAAGAGACAGAAGATGACACCAAAGAGGAAGACAGAAGAGGCAGACCCACTTGCTCTAATGTAATGGGAAGCCACAGTTGGGGACTGTTAGCAGGGGAAAAGACAGGATCTGTGTAATTCTGTTGTTGTTAAGCAGACCTGGGCTGGGTTCGAACCTGCCACCCCTGGTGAACAGGGCTGGTGCTCTAACCACTGAGGTACAGGCACCCAGCCTCTTTTTTTTTTTGGAGACAGAGTCTTTCTGTTGCCCTGGGGCCCTAGGTACAGTGCCCTGGTATCCTCACAGCAATCTCAAACTCTTGGGCTCAAGCTATCCTATCTCAGCCTCCCAAGAGACTGGGACTATAGGTACCTGCCACAACACCTGGTCATTTTTTTTTTTTTTAGTAGAAACAGGGTCTCACTCTTAAACTCCTGAGCTCAGGTAATCCACCCACCTCAGCCTCCCAGAGTGCTAGGATTACAGCTATCACGCCCAACCCAAACTGTGTATCTTTTAGGAAGGTTAATTGATCTAGGTGTCTAAAGACCTATCCGGAGGTTCTAATACAACTCTACTTTTGTCTACCATCAGGCGTCCTCAAACTGAGGACATTTATCCGGCCCGCTGCTGCTGCTACCTGTCCTGCTTAGTAGCCTACTCATCCCAGGGCCCGCAGTCCAGCCCTCCAACAGACTGAGGGACAGTGAACTGGCCCTCTGTTTAAAAAGTTTGAGGATCCCTGGTCTATATCAAGGAAGAAAATGCTTTCTCAACCACCTGGTCCCATGTCTAGCCTAGAAAGCACTTTCACAGAGACACCAAGTCAGCCATAGATGAGCATGCTGTTCACAAAGGCCTGGTTGCTTATACAGATTCAAGAATCACCACATAACTAAAGGCCCCAAGGAGGATTACTGAGTGTAGATAAATAGGGGTAAGCAGGAGATAGCACAAGGGACTGAGAATCAAGGAGAGATGCAACAGACAGTGGGTCCTGAGCCAAGAAAGGTGGGTACTTCACAGAGGACCTGGAGGAATCTGCTACACTTCTGTGTGCCCAGGAGGCCACTGTCCCCTTGCCTGTGAACCTTCAAGGGCAGGATGGAACCTCACTTAAACACAATGACCCTAGAGTCAATTGGGGCACAGTTGTCCTGGGTGCTTCCACATAACCTTACAGACATTTACATGGTACCATCTTGAGATAGAACCAGAGTCAAAACCCCAACCCAGAACTCAGCAGGCGGATGCAGACACAGGCCAGTTATACCACTCTAGGCATGAAAGGCTGCTCTAAGCCTCTGGTGTATTCTGTAGGGAGGGCTATCAATAGTACCCATACCTCACAGGTTACAGGAAGCATAGGTGGTGGGAGCCTGTCCTAGCACAGGACAACCTCTATACACTACAGGCTGTGGTTCTCGTGGGGAAGGGGAAATGGTGCTCCCTCTGCCCTTGGGGCTGTACCTGCAAAAGCTGAGGATTCTCCTGCCCCAGCTGCTGGAGCAGAGCAGGCAGCAGTGCTGGATTCTGCTGGATCACCTGCCGCATGTTCTGGAATTGGGGCTGGTCACGCAAGAACTCCAGGGGGTTCTCTCCTTCAAGCAGCAGGAAGGGGTGTAGTCAGACACCATGCTAGGCTCCCAGGAGCATTTGGGGGTGGGGGAGATCAGGTGCCTTGAGAATGGATACCCCATGTGCACATGCATACCTCCCACCCTCTCACCTGCTTCTGTAGCTGGCTGCTCAGACACCTGGCTCTCCTGGACAGAACTGTGTTCTGGCTCGGGGCTTCCAGGAATTCCCTGTCAGGGGTCCTTATTTAGTTCTAATGCATAGACCTCCCACCACCTCCCTCCATGTCCTGACAGGAAACAGGTGAGGCCTTGGCCCTGCCCTTCACAGGCCCACCCACCACAGCCTCCTGTGAGAATCTAGTGGCTAGAACCACTCACTACCCAGAGACTCTTTAGAGCAGGTTTTGTCTCCCTGAGTGCTCTGGTGATGCTTGTGTACTCCCCTCAAGGCCTCCCCAAGAGGCAGCAGCCCCACCTCACCGTGAGTAGGTACTCCACGGCTCGGTGGGGGTTGTTGTAGCTGGCTCTCAGGGCGGCCACGACCTGCTCCCGCTCATAGCCCATGGACATGATCTCCGTCAACATCGTCTCATACTCAGAGCCAGTCACTGTGGAGGGAGCAGCAAAACATCTATCACCAGGAAGAAGAAAGTGCAGCTCCCAGGCCCTCCCACACACAGATAAGGTCCAGCTGATGGCTGGAGTACCCAGTTGCCTCTGCCCTGGGGACCACCCACCCACCTAGTGTGGAGGCCGCGTCTTCCTCTCGCCCGCTGCTACCTGAAGAAGGAACAGAGCTGCAAATTCAAGAGAGAGAAATCGGACCCTGGCTTCTGACGGCTTGCCCTCCCTCCAGGTGTGTGGGACCACATATGTGGGTGCTGGAATGTGCTGGGAGGAAAGGGCCCAAACTGAGACTGCTGCCCTTGCCTTACCCTGATACAGACTCTGGAGACGTCGTAGGGACCGATTCCTCTGATGGGCTCTTGTCCTCTCTGGCAGCAGGTGGGGGATGGGACATGCCTGAGGCAGGGGCAGGCAGGAAGGTGGTAGAGGTCTCTGAGGCAGCAGTAGGTGAAGCCTCTAGGGGAGCTGAGGTACCCTGACCAGCTTTGGCCTATGACAGCAAGAAAAAGGAAGCTGGAGTTAGTAACCCTATCATACCCCAACATCCTGCCTTGTTGTGGCCCTGCCTTATTCGTGGCTAATCTCTCCTGCACACACAGTCTCTTTGCTGGCTCTCTAGTTGATCCACCTACCCTCCCAATCAGTACATGTCACCCACCTTGGTCACCATGACGACCACAAAGTTCTTCTCATCTATGCGATAGTCCCTAATGGGGACATCATCACTAAGGATCTTGCCGGCATAGATGAGTTTCTGTCCAGCCACAGGGAAAGCATCACGACCCTTCTCAGCTTCTATCTTCTCCTTTAGCACCTTCACCTGAAAGGAGTACAAACATCATCGCAAACTCAAAATTCTCTCTTCCCTTCTAGTTTGAGGGGTGGGAGGCTGTAAGCTCTAAAGGTATGAGGCGAAGCTTTTTAGTCAAACGTGCTAGATTTGAATTTGTCCAGCCATTGTGCCATTCACTGAAGTGTTTTCTGAATATCTGTTATATGCCAGGTGTTGTTAAAGGTACCAAGGCTATTTAAGACAGAGACCACGGCAGGGAACAAAATACAAATCCCTGCTCTCAGGGAAAGAATGCTAACGTGAGAAGAAATGCACATAGTATTTTATGTAAAGTATGATGAGAAACAAAACAAAATGAAGGGTAGAGGGGTGACCATTCGACATTGGTCACCTTGGACAGTGACAATGATCAATATCCTCTATGTTGACTGCTACTGTAAATGGATACATATTGTGATTTTAAGCTTCATAATAACTTGGTATCATTGGTCCTATTTTGTATTTGAGAAAACCGAGGTACAGAAAGATTAAGTAACTTGCCCAAAGTCAAACAGTTGGGCTGACCAAAAAATGTTTCCTTTTCTACAAAAAGTGCACTTCAAACTAGATAGGCAGGGTGGCTCATGCCTGTAATCCCAACACTATGAGAGGCCAAGGCAGGAGGATTCATTGAACCCAGGAGTTTGAGACCACACTGGACTATATGGCCACATCTCATCTCTATGAAAAAGAGGAAAAATTACCTGGTGGTGTGCACTTGTAGTCCCAGGACTTGGAATTGGTTGAGCCCAAGAATTTTTTTTTTTTTTTTTTGAGATAAAGTCTCAGTCTGTCACCTTGGAGTAGAATGCAGTGGTGTCATCATAGCTCACTCCAGTGATCCTCCTGCTTCAGCCTCCCAAGTAGCTGGGACTATAGGTGAGCACCACCACACTGGGCTAATTTTTTCTATTAATTTTTTTCTAAAGATGGGGTCTCACTCTTGCTCAGGCTGGTCATGAATTTCTGACCTCAAATGATCACCCCGTTTGGGACTCCAGAAGTGCTGGGATTACAAGCATGAGCCACTGTGAGAATTTGAAGTTAGAGTGAACTATGATCAAGATACTGCACTCCAGTCTGAGTAAGAGGAACATCCTGACTCAAAAAAGAAAAAAAAGTGGACTTCAATGTCTCGTGGAGTAGGTGTGCAAACAGCGCCGAATAATACAATTAGATATTCAACACGTTTTGGATTAAGTCCTAATTCTCCTCTCAGCTAAAAAAAGCAGCACAATGTTTTGACTGTGGGTTCTCACATGAGGCAGAACTGAATTTGAATCCCTGCTGTCTTTCCAGGCTTTATGTGATCGTGGCAAAGTTCCTTAACCCCTAGGTTTCGACATCTGTAAAACGCGAAGAGTCAAGAGTCCCCAAATGACAAGTCCATTCTGCACATTAGCAAAACGCTAACACGTTCAGTGACTGATAAAGAATAAACGGCCAACAAACACAGACCACCAAAACTATTAAGACTGAGACCGTTTATTATCACTATCATCGCCGCTGTCAACACACAGCATCTCCTGGACATTACTCCCAGATTCGCCCACCAAGGGCCGGAGGAGACGCCTGCAAAGGTGGGACGCGGAGCCCCAGTCCCGGAAGGCTGGCCTGGCGAGGAATCTGAACCTGTGGCTCCCGCGCCCCGCGAGAGCGCTGACATCGGAACCGGGGCCTGGCAGGCGCCCCGGGGGGTGGGGCCTCGCCCGGAGACCAGCCCAAGAGCACCACTCAGGCCGCCCAAGGGCTGGGCCAGGGACTATGGAGGGTCCAAGAAAGTCCGCTAAGTGTGTGGGGGGGCGGGCAGGGCTGGGCCCCCCACGCTCCTCCCCACCCCTCCCGTTGGGATCTCAGCCTACCCGCCCCCACCCTATCCCCAGCACCCGTCGCTCCCGCCCCCGGGCTCCGGCCCGGCCCGCACCGTCTCGTCAGGCTCCATGCGGATCTTGAAGGTCTGCTGCTGCAGCGTTTTGAGCGTGATGGTGACGGCCATGGTGGGGCCCGAGCGACGCGGCTGCCCCAAGATCCTCACACAACATGCAACTCACGCCGCCGCCATCTTAGCGCCCAGCCGCGCAGCGCTCCGACCGCTTCCGGGGCAGGCGATGCGCACGCTTAGACAGCTCACGTGACCTGCGCGAGCCCTCTTGGCCTTTAAGAGCATGCGCACGAGCGCCTTATTTGGCCAGGCATGCGCAGACCAAACTATGCTTTGCAGGGACTGCTTGCTCTTCTCGCACTGCTATCACCCGGCTTCCTGAGTGACGCCGGGTCCGCTAGCTGTGACGTCATGTGGCCTGAAACTGGTTCCTGTGTCCCCACTTCCACGCCGAAACAATTCTTTCTTGACTTTGAATGAAATGTTTCATGTACCAACACTTGTTATAGTCATTTGTGTTTCTTCAGTAAAAGTATTTCTCCATTCCCTTTGCCTTTTTTATTTTTTGAGACAGAGCCTCAAGCTGTCGCTCTGGGTAGTGTGGGTAGGGTGCTATGGCATCACAGCTCACAGCAACCTCCAACACCTGGGCTTAAAGCGATTCTCCTGGCTCCGCCTCTCAAGTACCTGGGACTACAGGTGCCCGCCACAACGCCCGGCTATTTTTTGGTTGCAGCCATCATTGTTTGGCATGCCCAGGCTGGATTTGAACCTGCTAGCTCAGGTGTATGTGGCTGGCACCTTAGCCGCTTGAGCCACAGGCGCCGAGCCAACCATTCCCC